ATATTTCCCTATGCAAAACATTCTCCACCCATACATGGATGTGGGCAGAGTGGTCAATGGAAATTTAATATAGGGGAGGCAAAAAAAGGACAAAGCTAACATTACTTGTCTTTGGGGAAAAATCTAAGCAACTCACTGCCAGCAAATTTTTGTACTGATATTCAATGTTTGGCTTCCTTCCTTTCTTTTTTCTTTTGAGTTGCCATGAAATAGCAACATTTCTCAAGGAAAGAGAATTATCCCAAAGGTATAATTATTTCACAACTTCCCTATCATTCTTATAGAAAGATTAATTAAAGGCTGCAGATCTTATGCCTAATGAGAATTATTTCTTAGAAACGTTATAAAAAGCTATCTAGGCTGCTGGGAGTGGTATTCCTGGATAATATTGCATCAATTCCAATCTTGTATAATTCCAACTTTCTGAGCATTGTGGGAAAGAAAAGCATTCCTATCTGTCTCATACTTATTGTGACTTAATAATGGAAATATAACACTCCAAATGCATCACCCCAAATGATGGGAACGGCACTCCTGTAGCCCAGAAGGAGTCCCATAATCAGCTCTGGTTTGACACAAGGGTTTTGAAATAAGTCTATTTTAAGGGGAGAGCTTTGAGGCACTACAGGTAGTCCTCGACTTACAAACTGTTTGTTTAGTGACCATTCAAAGTTACAATGGCACTGGAAAAAGTGACTTCACACCAGGGGTGAAATCCAACAGGTTCTGACAGGTTCTAGAGAACTGGTAGCGGAAATTTTGAGCAGTTTGGAGAACTGGTAGCGGAAATTTTGAGTAGCTTAGAGAACTGGCAAATGCCACCTCTGGCTGGCCCCAGAGCGGGATGGGAATAGAGATTTTGCAGTATCCTTCCCCTGCCATACCCACCAAGCCACGCCCACAGAACCAGTAGTAAAATAAATTGGATTTCACCACTGCTTCACACCCTTTTTCACACTTAAGACCCTTGCAGCATCCCCATGGTCACATGATCAAAATTCAGATGCTTAGCATCTGACTCATATTTGTGATGGTCCCAGTGTCCCTTTTGCAAACGTCTGACAAGCAAAGTCAACGGGGGAAGCCAGATTCACTTAACAACTGTGCTATTAGTTTTAACAACTGCAGCGATTCGCTTAACAACTGTGGCAAGAAAGGTCATAAAATGAGGCAAAGCTCACTTAACAACTGTCTCAATTAGCAACAGAAATTTTGAGCTCAATGGTGATCCACAGTCAAGGACTACCTGTATTCCGGAACAGCTGATGGTTGGGGTCTCTTTGAAGTATTTATATGAAATATTCATGCCATACTACTATACGTATGTGTGTAGGCACATCCACGTAGACTTCTGGTGGCTTTCTGAATAAGTTTCTCCATTGTTCTTGGCAAGATTTTGTAAATAGTTTGCCCTTGCCTTCTTCCTAGGGCTTAGAGAGAATGACTGACCTATGATCCCCCAGCTGATCACCCAACTCACATTCTCCTAGTTTCAAGCCTGGCACCTTAACCAATATTCCAAGCTAGCTGGAGCAAGTTTTAATGGGTGGCTAAGCCTACTCCTCTAGCCATTTGTAAAAACCTGCTTCTTCCTCAGGCCCCACCTCTCATCAGTAATTGGTTGATGCTTTCCCACTGGCTGCCAATAGGAGGGGAGAAAAATAAAACTAGGGAAATTCACCAAACCCTGTCCTTAATATATCCTCTACACTCTAAATAAGGATAGCAACATTTGCTGACCTCATGCCAGTAGCAAAACAGTTTTTTCCCGAAGGGGCCATTCCTGATTAATTTCCTTGATCTTTCCCCCTCATGTGCAGCTGAGAATTATAAATAAACTTTAGGAAGAATTGCATTTTCTCCTTTCTATTTTGTGCATCACACACACAAAAACATATACACTTTTCCTTTTACAGATTCAGAAACATTTGTTGTATACAGAACTAACCCTTCGCTAGTTCCTAGGAAATATCAATCACAGCCATGGAATTAATCCAGGGTTTTGTTATTCTGTTTCTATTCCATATTCTGTTACATACAGCTTGCGTATGCTCATTGCCGTAGCTATGTGGTATTTCTTAAGGAAATGTTAGCTGTTTTTTAATTTGAAGAAAATGCATGGAGTAAGTAGGCCATGTGTTCCGCATATAAAAATAAATATTCTTTATCTGATGAATACATTTCTGATGCTAACCATCTAGAGATCTTTAAAAATACAGTATAGTCTGCAGATAGGATTATATTGCCAATTATGAGGAACATAACTAATTTTCCATTATTGTTTCGGAAAATCCTGCAATTTTGAGGGTTGTTGCCTTCATCTCCTCCTCAAGCCAGGCCTAAAACGTAGGACCCTGCAAAATCACCAGGGAGAGGGTGTTCCATAAGGTAGAGGCAGCCATGGAAAAGGCTCGCTTCCAGGGGTGAAATCCAGCAGGTCCTGACAGGTTCTGGTAGCAGAAATTTTGAGCAGTTTGGAGAACCAGCAAATACCACCTCTAGCTGGCCCCAGAGTGGGGTGGGAATGGAGATTTTGCAATATCCTTCCCCTGGAGTTGGGTGGGAATGGAGATTTTGCAGTATCCTTCCCTTGCCACGCCTACCAAGCCATGCCCACCAAGCTACACCACACCCACCAAGCCACACCCAAAGAACCAGTAGTAAAAAAAATTGGATTTCACCATTGCCCGCTTCTGTGGTCCCACCAGATTACAGAATTTCAGGGAAGGGACCAGAGCATGCCTACTGTATACATTCCATATATGTTAGAATGTATTTTGTATTGCAACAACAACAGAATTATTCAGCCAATAGATGGCAATGTTTAGTGTGCATCTATAGTTATAATCTAGGGTTCCTTTTGTTCTGAGTAGAGTTTCCTGTTTCCTGTTACAGTTTAAACAGTTGAGCAGTAAAGCACATGGTGACTGTACTCTTTGTTTGTTCTGTGGTGCTATATATTTCTAACACTCCCTTATCAGATCTAGTGGGATGGGTGGATATTCTTATGGCAAGACCGTCCCACAAATAAAATAACCAGATCTTGTGCTATGTAGAGCTTTAAAAGTGATAACCAGCATCTTCCTCAGAATTGCACCCAGAAGGAAACTGGGAATCAGTACAGATTGCACAACATCGATGTAATTGGATGGTATAACCATAGCTGTCTGTGTGCTGTTGCATTCTGGACCAGTTGGCGCTTCTGAGTGGTCTTTAAGGACCACATAAAGCACATTGCAATAATCCAAATAGGAATTGACTAAGGTGTGAGTACATATACATTTTTTAAATCTCTAGCAAACCAGGATGATTCTTCAGATAAAAACTTTAAAGGAATTTAGAAAAGCATTGATCCTTCATTATGACTATTGCTTAGTTCTTTTTCTACTCTGTTTATATACTATTATAGAGCAGGAATAATGGGAATTCTTAGGAGCTTGGTAGCTGTCCAGATGAGGTGAGAAAAATCTGTTGGGGAAAGGCAATCTCTAGATACCCAGATCCATTTAAGGTTTTAAAATCAAATTGCCATGGTGGGTCCGTTTATGTCATATTCTGTGCTACACTGAAGACACTTCCATCCAGCTAACAGTGGCTCTAAATAGTATTCTGTACTTTGAGATTGCCCAGCAAAATCTCAGAATAAACAGAGGGAATAATATTTATTTCAGTATGGTTACTGAGGAGAGATTACTATATGCACAAAGATGGCAAGATTTGACACCACCCATTATGGAGGAATGATTGGTGAAGTTGATAGATTTTGCTGAAATGGATAAATTGACTTCTTTGTTTAGAGAAAAATCATGACCTACATTTATTGGTGACTGGAAGCCTGTTATGGACTTTTTCCATAAAAATGAAAAATGTGATTTATGGTTTGGATGATTAGGTAGAATATGTTATAGAAAGAAGAGTGGATGATGTAATATTTCTACTTATAACTGCTGTGATGAATATCTGAAGCCACTTCATTATTTCTTCTTTCTTTCATTTCTCAGGATCTCTCTGTATCAAAGTTAGCTTCAGGTGGGGACACAATCTAAGGATCAGAGCCTCTAAATGATCAACAACTTGAGATCCACCAGTAGATTCTGACCTACCTACCACTATCTATAGTAACTGGCTTCTCCAGGTGGAGCTGTGGTGGCACAGTGGTTACAATGCCATATTGCAGGCTGACTCTGCCCACTGTCAGCAGTTTGATCCTGACTGGCTCAAGGTTGACTCAGACTTTCATCCTTCCGAGGTCAGTAAAATGAAGACCCAGATTGTTGGAGGCAATATACCGACATTGTAAACTGCTTAGAGAGGGTTGTAAAGCCTTATGAAATGGTATATAAGTCTAAGTGCTAAATGCTACTGCTATTGCTTCCCAGAGTTTGCAGCAGGATCTGTGCTCTGCTCAGATCCTCTGGATGTTCAGGAACTGAACCAGGGGTCTTTGGCATCTGAAGCACATGATCTCTTTCTGCAGGATAAGGGCAGTGAGAGTTACACAGAGACAGAGCATGACTGTATGGTTGCACCTACAGCTGATAACTGCTTGAGTCCAGAGCATAAATAGTCAGGAGACACACATATTAATAGAATCACAGGACAGGTTGGATAAGTCAGAGAGCGGTTCCAGGATGCTGAAGCAATCATAGCTTTTCCATCATCTCCCTCCCCTTTCTTCTCTCCCCCTCCTTCTAACCATTATTTTCTTCTATTCCCTAAGTTACATCATCCTTTCCTGTCGGTAGCTTGAAAGCAGCTGCAGAATGATAATATTTAGACTTTGGCATCCTCGTGACCCCATGTTAGGAGCAGTAGGAGCAAGAGCCCCCCCTGACTCACCCTTGGGGAACCTAGTGAGTGTGTGGGGAAATGGAAGTGGGCGGAGAGTTGTAGGCAAGGCAAAAGTCAAGGGGAAGGTCGTTTACCTCTGTTGTAGAGCGTGTCTGTATATATATTGGTGAGTTTGCTGATTTGGAACAAACTTGGCACAAGACAGAGCAAGAAGGAAGACACTCTCCTTATTCTGACTATTCCCATTGATTGGGTGACTGGAAGTTTACTAGACTCCCCAGCTCCCATCCCAAGAATAACAACCTACAGAAGTTCTGGACTGCATTTCTTTTTGAATTCTGGACATAATTCCTGGGTGAGACCAATAAGGGCAGGAATCTCTATAGTCTTCCCTCAGAACAATAGAATCCAGTGACTGGCGAAACTAGGCTAAGACTTCGAACCTTGCATTCCTCCTTGAATTTCTTCTGAGGGCGAGACTATCTTTGCCATCCCAGAACTACATTTTGCCTGGATCAGCCATCCTTGAGCCATGCTGTCCATTTCAGTTCTTCTCCAATGCAACGGTTATTTCCTGCTTCCCATTAATCTGCTTTTCTGGGCTGCATTGGTCTCCAGGACTGTGGCCTCTCCAGTGCCAAATTCCAACCCTCTGTACCAGTTTGATGGGCAAGTCCGGCTTCGCCATCTCTACACAGCCAATGAACGGACCCACCTCCACCTGGAGATCTTCTCGGATGGCACAGTGCGTGGCTCCAAATACCAGAACCTCTTCAGTGAGTATTTGGGAAATGAATCACTCTGGATTCCTCCAAATGAGTTTTTCCAGAGTTATATGTGGAATTGGGGCACAGTCAGCTGGGTTCTTTGGAGAAGCATCTGGTACTAGATCATGAAATATGTTTTTTTTCAGAAGAGGACATTTCAGAACACGTAGCTTCTTAACACATGTGTTATCTATAAAACAAATGTTAACTTTGTCCTCTGCTGCAGATGGTCACACGAAACTTTCAGAGTAAAACAGGTAGTAGAAACAGGAACCATAGAAGGTGTTCTGGTGGCCTCCCACAGATTATGCTATACTCTACAGATGTTACAAATTAAGACTGAAGAGGATCTGAAGAGGTTGATGGCTCTTAGAGTTATAACCATTCTAAAGAGTTCTACTTTTTCACAAATAATTTTCATTCTTTTCCCCACCAATCTGCAGGTTTGATGGAAATCAAAGCAGTAAAGTTGGGGGTCGTTCGTATATTGGCTAAGAAAACCTCTAGATTTCTTTGCATGGATTCTGAAGGACATCTATATGGCTCAGTAAGTATAATTATCTTAGTTATGTCTCTGTGTTGAGAGCAGTGTTTCTCAATCTCGGCAGCTTTTGGATGTGTGGGCTTCCTCCCAGAATTCTCCAGCCAGCATGCTGGTTGGAGAATTCTGGGAGTTGAAGTCCACACATCTGGGAATTTCCAAAGAAGAAACACTGGTTTAAAGCAAAGGATCAATGGAGTAAAATAAAGCTATATATTGAAAGATCCACCTGTCTGATTATGAGTTCACCCATTTCTAAAATATGCATTTTTGCGGATCATCTCACACATTATATGGCAACAGTTTTAAGTCTGCCATTCAGAACATTCAAGCACCAGTTAAAGACACAGGTGTTTTCCAGAGATAGCCAAGTTGTTTTCATTCACAAATTAAATTTTCACCCACAAAATCATACATACAAAAAATAATGTGTGATAGTACGTTATTAAAATCAAAGCAAACTGTTCCTGCAGACTGAACCATTTTAATCTTCTTGATGCTGAGGGGACTTAATAGTTTAGTCACTAGTGGATATATTCTGAAATCATAATAAAAAACCTACATTTTTAGGAACAAACTAAAATGTAGTGACATCCATTAAGAAGCTGTCTGTCTTCTTTTTAAAGTCATAGCAGCATTTATGTTTGCAGTCCCCTATATTCATTTATTCATTCAGTTTGCATAGCTGCCTATCTAAAATCGGTGAGTCTGAATGGTGATTCATAAAAGTAATTAATACAGTTGAAATACAATATAAAAAAGAAATTAAATAGAAATAAAAACTAAGACATACAGTATACTATGTCTTATATAATAATCAGGAAAAAGGGGTCCTTCATATACTCTGGCATGTGTATTACAGGTAGTGCCTCGAATTACAACCACAATAGAGATCAGAATTTCAGTTGTTAAGCAAGGTATTTGTTTACATCTCATGATCATGGGAATGCGGTGATGGTCGTAAGTGCGAGGAATAGTTGTAAGTCACTTTTGAGTGTCGTAATTTTGAATGGTCACTAAATGAATGGTTGTATGTTAAGGACTATCTGCATCTATATAGAATAAAACTCGTGTTCTATAATCTTTCACTGGGTGAAATGATACATCGTACAGTAAAACTTTTTCAACTGAGATATCTCAAATGGGCTAACTTCTAGAATGCGTCCAAAATTTGGGACTTGTGACTCCTGTGAAACTGAAATTTGGAAATTTAAAAAAAAAACCATTTTAAGATCTAAAAATTATCATGAAGCATATTATGACATCATGCAAAATATCATAAAACTTTTCCTGTGTTGACATGGGCTACTTTGAAGGGAGATGCAACACTGAATATCACCCTGGATTTTTAAGAACTTTTCAAATATATTATTAGAAGGTCTGTCATTGTTGAAGATATTGAGGCGTCTCCAAAGGATTTATCTCTGAAACAATGACCCAACAGGTCATGGGTATTCTAGCATGCTACTAGAACAAGGTAAAAACACTCATTTCAAGGGGAGTGTGTTTTTGAGTTAAACATTTAATTACTGGGCCAGTGAAACAGAAATACTTTGTGAAGGGAGAAAAACAATTTAAAAACAAATATTTTTTATTTTGAATCGTTGTGTCTATGAAAACGAAGGGAATAAATAATGCAGGTTGCAAATTGCAATCCGACTTTTTTGACTTCTGAAATTTGAACTTGTATGCTGCAACAAGTTGACCGTAGTGCATAGAAATAGAAACTTTTGGCAGATGCTCAGGATATAAACGTTGCAAATAAACAAATGGTAAAGATGTTAACACTGCAGAGTTCAAGCCAAATTCTGAGCCTGCGTGGAGAAATTGCACATTTGTTGATCATACAACACTATATTCACTATTAACCCCTGAGCAGTGAAAATAGCATTTCTTTAGCTGAAATCAATTTATATTTTGGTGTAGTTTGAATGCCTAGTTTAGGTACAGCAATGTATATAGGGCTGAATTACAGGTAGTCCTTACAGCAGTTTGTTTAATGACCATTCATAGTTACAACGGGACTTAAAAATGTGACTTATGACTGTTTTTCAAAGTTATTACCTTTGGAGAATCCCCATGTTCCTGTGATCAAAATTCAGATGCTTGGCAACTGGTTCATCTTTATGACCATTGCTATGTCCCAAGGTCATGTGATCCATTTTTGCGACCTTCTGACAAGCAAAGTCAATGGGGAAGCCAGATTCACTTAACAACCGGGTTACTAACTTATCAACTGCAGTGATGCACGTAACAATTGTGGCAAGAAAGTTTGTAAAATGGGGCAAAATTCACTTAAAATATGTCTCATTTAACAACAGAAATTTTGGGCTCAATAGTGGTTGTAAATTGAGGACTACGTATACCTATGGATTATATGACCTTCAATTTCTCTGAATTAATTCTGTAGGCGAAAATTGTGCACAGCCAGATTTGACTAGATGCTACAAGAAAGTTCTTGGTGATAAGAATTGTCTGACAGTGGAAAAGATTACCTAAGGAAATTATTGCCTTAGTTTAAAATGCAACAGTAGGAAGTACATGGGTAACTGAAGCTACAAGAAATAATATAACAGAGATGATGGCAGAAGATTGGATAAAATTTTTCCCTCAGGCATACCAACTTGGTATGATCCTGCACTGTTGATTCTATGCTCAATTTGCACAGATAATTGTTGTATAATCTCCTGGCAATAAGTACTCCTAGAGCAGGGATCAAACTGGCGGCCCAGGGGCCAGATGCATCATGCGCAGGCCACGACCATCCCAGCTCTGCAAAGGCAAAAAACATCACAATACGTCGTGATATGTCACATGACCTGATCAAGTTTGACATCCATGTCCTAGAGTTACACCAGTAATAGAGCCTGCAATTACCATCGTATATAATGACAGTCTTAAAGCAGGTCACTGTGTGACTGGACCTGATTTGATGTCCTGTTTTGCAGCAGTTGTTAAGCGAACCCTGTTTGCTGTGGGCCAGTTTTTGCCGAACACCATACATAAATGCAGGCTAGTTGCCAAATGCCCAATTGCAATCATGTGACTGCGGAAGAGGTGGAATTGGAATAGGGTCAAAAGTCCCATTTTTAGAGTCTGTCAAATTTGAAATTCAGCAGGTTCTGACAGGTTCTGGAGAACCAGTAGCGGAAATGTTGAGTAGTTTGGAGAATCGGCAAATACCACCTCTGGCTGGTCCCAGAGTGGGGTGGGAATGGAGATTTTGCAGTATCCTTCTTCTGCCACACCCACCAAGCCACACCCACAGAACTGGAAAAAAAATTTGAATTTCACCACGGCCCCTAACATTTGCTGCTTGATTGTATTTTTTAATGTGACAGAATAGAATTTAATACGTACTGTAGGAAGCAATTATAGGAGCAAGATAACAATAAACTCACTTTAAGCCTAGCCTCATCGAAGGTAAATGAAATGAAATTCAGTTGTTTTTGCTTCTTTATTCTTGGCTGTCTGTAAAGGCTCTGCATTCTTGAAGACTTAATAATCTCTTCCCTTTGCAGCTGTTGTACTCAGAAGAGGCCTGTAACTTCCGCGAGATGGTTCTTCGAGATGGCTATAACGTGTACTATTCAGAGGCCTACAATCTTCCTGTTAGCCTCAGCTTGATGGAGAATTTGGCCCAAAGCCGTCAGCTGCCCCCTTTCTCCCAGTTCCTACCTTTAGTAAACAAGGTTCCCCTTGAACCCATGATCGTGGACTACGAATATGTTCAACAGGTACATGACATTGAGTCAGCTGATCCCTTCAACATAATGGGTCAAAATCAGGACTTGAGAAGCCCAAGTTTTGCCTTCAGATAGAGCAGGACAAGCTCTGCCACCTCTATTTTATTGCATTAATATGAAGAGTAAATATGAGGAAGACAAATCAGGGCAAAGGAGCAGAATGATAAGAGGGATGGATGTAATTGACTGAAGCCTTGTGGGATTCCCAAATTCCAAAACAGACACAGAATTCCTGTTCTGTCTGAATCACTTCAAATTTTCAGTTTCCCATTGTTAATCTTGCTGGCTTTAAAAAAAAAAAAATCCAAGGTTTTATTTCTATTTATCCAACTATTTAAGTAACTTATATATTATATGAGGTTTATTTATTGAAGTAAGCTAGATCGATAAGGAAGCAGAAAGGGAAGGCATAATGTGAAAATCTTTTGTGCACAGATATTTATATATTGTTATTTATATGCAACCGTTTATGTGTGTATATTTTCAGCCTGCATATTTATTTCCCTTTCTGGCGAGGGCCAGCCAACTGAATTTTAAATCTGAATTGCACATATGATCATGATTTTATGCCTGATATGTATTTACCTCCCCTTTCTGTATTTTTTTGAGTACTGTTTCTGCAAAAATCAATTCATGAGCCATAGCAATGGTTGCAAAGAGGTTGGGGGCTGCATGTAAAAACAAGGCAGGGCTTCCATCCGCCATCTTGACTTTTTTGACCCCAACAGACTCCCCTGCAATGAGGTTTAATCAAAAGAGGCCAAAATCCCCTTTGAGCCCCATTTTTATTTGCCTTTTTTTAAAAAAAGGTTGTATTGTGCCTATGTAAGCCATCGTACCACTTGAAAGAGAGAACTCTAATAAGAAAAACAAAGAAAAAGGCACATGTATTGATTATGAATGTTTATTTATTTATAAGCTATACTACATTGTCATTAAAAGAATGTGCCTCTGCTGTGTGTGTTTCAGCAGCAGCTGTTTCTGGTCAAACATGTCCTATTGACAATTCACTGACTTGACACAAATCTGCAAATTGTTGTATTCTTTTTCTGTTTCTTCATTTTTATGTAAAAATACCTGTTTCCTTGTGCTTTAATTGTGACCAGTGTTAACTGTCAGTGAGCTGAAGCGTGAATGGTGTATTTTAATGTGAACACAAATAAAAGGCTTTTTTTAAAAGAAAAAGAAGCAATTAATTGACAGCAAATAAGTTAGTTCTTAGAAATGTTTTCATTGGGCAACAGTAATTAATGAGAAAATAAACAATAGAGGGTGTCGGCAGGGAGGGCAAAAACGTCAGACCGCACAGCAGTGCATGAGAATCCTCAACTCTTTGGGCGTCTCAAATATGTTCAAAGGGAACATCATATCCACCATTTTGACACAGCCCCTCACTCTGGTGGACACCCCTCCCAGGCAGGGTTCCTACTACTTTGGGGTTACTCAGAAGTCATCAGTCAGAATTCAATTCCATCCATTCAATACTGCTTTCAATGGCTCTTATACAAGATATGACATCTGTCTAATGTCCAAAAACCATCATTTCATCGCACAGTTTGGTCCTCCCCCAACTCATTGTAGTTTCAGAATCTGTATGTCTTTTATAGTGGTGAAATCCAAATTTTTTTACTACCGGTTCTGTGGGCGTGGCTTGTTGGGCGTGGTGTGGCTTGTTGGGTGTGGCAGGGGAAGGATACTGCAAAATCTCCATTCCCACCCCACTCCAGGGGAAGGATACTGCAAAATCCCCATTCCCTCTCTACTTCTGGGGGAAGGATATTGCAAAATCCGCATTCCCACCCCACTCTGGGGCCAGCCAGAGGTGGTATTTGCCAGTTCTTCAAACTGCTCAAAATTTCCACTACCGGTTCGCCAGAACCTGTCAGAACCCGCTGAATTTTACCCCTGGTCTTTTATTTATTTATTTCCATCCTTTCAGAAATTCAAGATGACATGCACAGTGCTCCCTCTTCTCCTTTCCCCTCACAACAACCTTGAGAATGGCTCAAAGTCACCCACTGAAGGGCTGAGAGTGGACTAGAAGATGGATCACCCTGCTCCTAATCCAGTGTCTAATGATGGTTCTCCCTGGGCGGAAGTTATGGCATCTTTCCAAACCAAGACTAAACTTAGACCACCCACCATTTACCAGTATGTTGTCTGTATAGGGCCAAGGAATATTTTTTGCAGATAGAAATGAGGCTAGAAACTGTTGCAAAATACTAGCATTTAATAAACCTTAATCCCAAAACTCATGTGGTACAGGAAGCTGGCATGTGCCAAGGGAGATGCCCTGGAGCCATGTTAGACAAAGAGCCAAATTGCCGTTGCCAAGGGATCAAAGGTTGGTTGGTTTTCCCAAACTAAACTGACGGGAATTCACAAGAAAGTGAAAGTGATCGGAATTGGGAAGCAAAACGCAGGATCCAACCGCTTTCCTTTGGCACTGATGGGGACAGTGTCCTTGAGAAGTGGCAGTGTTTGCCAGTATAATGGGCAACTTTTTGGCTGTCAGTGATTGGACAACATCCTGACTGGAACACCATGCAAAAAACCATTGTGATCTTTTCTACAACATCCCTTAATATAACCATGGTAGCTACAAAAGCACTGACTGGATGGCACAGGGTTTTTTTCCTTCCTTCCTTCCTTCCTTCCTTCCTTCCTTCCTTCCTTCCTTCCTTCCTTCCTTCCTTCCTTCCTTCCTTCCTTGGCATCAAGAACCTCAAGTAAGGGTGAAGCAGCATCCAGACAGGGGCAACTGCAGGAAGTGGGCAGTCAAAAAAGTCAAGATGGCTGCTGTGGTTGTGCATTAAAAAGAGGTGGGCTTCAGTGGGAGGGTTGCAGCCGCCATCATGGTCTTTTTGAACTGTCCCTTGGATGCCTGCCCGCTAAGAAGGATCTGACGGACCTTCAGCCATCTGCTGGATCAGGAGAAAGCTCTGGTGTCCCTAGGCCTTACCAGAATTGCAAAGAAGAATGCTCTTTGACAGCAATTTCTCTTTGTGCATATACCAGTCTTAAAAGGCACCCTTAAAAAAGGACAAGTGTGCACACACAGGCATGTACAAGTAGTCCTCACCTTACAACAGTTCATTCAGTGACCATTTGAAGTTACTTAAAAAAAATGAGTTATGACTGTTTTTCACACTTACAACCATTGCAGCATCCCAATGGTCAAGTGATCAAAATTTGGATGATTTGGCAGCAGTCTCATATTTATGATGGTTGCAGTGTCCCAGGGTCATGTCATCCCCTTTTGTGACCTTCTGACAAGCCATGGGGAAGCCAGATTCACTTAACAACCATGTTACTAACTTAACAGTAGCAGCGATTCAGTTAGCAACTGTGGCAAGAAAGGTCATAAAATGGGGCAAAACTCACTTAACAAATGTCTCACTCAGCAACAGAAATTTTGGGCTCAATTGTGGTCATAAATCGAGGACTACCTGTACCAGGCCAATTGTTTGTATCAAGAGGCATACAGGTAGTCCTCAACTTGTGACCATGCTTTGGACTGGAACGTATGATGCTAAATGATATTATTAAGTGGGCCGCATTTGACTTTACGATCTTTTTTGCCAAGGTTGTTAAGCGAATCACTGCAATTGCCAAGTAAATCATGCAGTTGTTAAGTGAATCTGGATTCTCCCATTGTCTTTACTTGTCAGAAGCCAGCTGGGAAGGTTACATATGGCAATCACATGGCCTCAGGATGCCAAAAGTGTCATAAATACATGTGAATTGCCAAGTGACCGAATTTTGATCCTGGGACCACAAGGAAGCTGCAACAGTTGTAACTCTGAGGAGCAGGTTGCAAGTCAGTTTTTTCAGTGACGATGTAATTTGGAATGGTCACTAAAAGAATGGTCATAAACCTATGACCACAATGGAGCTCAACATTTCTGTTGCTAAGCAAGATATTTGTAAAGTGAATTTTGCCTCGTTTTACGACCTTTCTTGTCAGAGTTTTTATGCAAATCACTGTGGTTGGTAAATTACTAACACAGCTGTTAAGTGAATCTGGCTTCCCCATTGACTTTGCTTGTCAGAAGGTCACAAAAGGGGATCACATGAACTCGGGACACTGCAACAGTCATAAATATGAATCAGTTGCCAAGCATCTGAATTTTTGATCACATGACCATGGGGATGCTGCAAAGGTCTTAAGTGTGAAAAATGGTCTTAAGTCATTTTTTTCAGTGATGTTGTAACTTCGAACAGTCACTAAATGAACTGTTGTAAATCGAGGACTACCTGTACTGTATCTGAGCTGTAACAAACCATTCCACCATTAGGTTGTAGCAGAGATGCTCAAAATCTTAACTCTTGACAGCCATCTAGTGGTCGCAATTGTATCATCCAACTATTAGTATGTGTTGGAATTGCTTTTGCTTGCTATAGAATTATTTTTGCTAAAGGAATACAGCAACTCTCTTCTCTTGATTAAAGTAACCCAACCACGGTGAGGCCCAACTCTTTTAAAATCTCAGCAAGAATTTAAAAAAAGAGAAATGCTTTAAAAGAGATCTATTCTTCATGCCACCTTTAAAGCAGCCACTCCTTTATTTTTCCGGTTTGTGTGGAATCCTGAAAGAAGAATTGAGCTGCTTTAAAGAGAACAGAGAGGCACTGAGCAAATTCAAGATCTAAAGCAGGGCGCCTCCAACCTTGGGAACTTTAAGACTTGTGGACTTCGACTCCCAGAATTCCCCAGCCAGCATTGCTGGCTAGAGAATTCTGGGAGTTGAAATGTAAGGGTTTAAAGTTCCCAAGATTGGACCACCCCTGGTCTAAAGTTTATCTTCTGCAGCATTTCTGAAGACCACCAAGATTTGATGGCATGCAACCCATGTATGTAGGCATGTATACTTCAAGTTTTAAATGCATTGTTTTTGGGGTGAGGGTCAGAGCTAAGATGCTCCCCAAAGCAACAGAAAGGGAAATTATAGTTTGCAGAACAAAATTCCAAGGTGAGGTTTTTGCTCCATTGATGAATGTGGTCAGAGGATGAGGTTTCACAAGGGATTGATAGCATCTACAGATCAGAGATCACACAGGAACCTGAAAAAAGGGGAAGAAACCAGGTGGGGGTGGGAGGAGAGAAAGATACGAGAAAGTTTAGGAAACAGTTCTGAACACTCATGCCCTAGTTTGCAAGGGTCTGCAACCTCTCATCACCCAGAAGAAAAGCACTTTTCTAAAGTCCTTCAGATTTAGGATTATTTTGCAATATTGGACTAATGTAGCAAAAGTTGTTGGGAATTAGGTAGTTCTCGACTTATGATCATAATTGAGCCCAACATTTCTGTTGCTGAGACAGTTGTTAAGTAAGTTTTGCCCCATTTTATGACCTTTCTTGATATAGTTGTTAAGTGAATCACTCCAGTTGTTAAGTTGGTAACCTGGCTGTTAAGTGAATCTGGCTTCCCCATTGACTTTGCTTGTCAGAAAATCGCAAAAGATAATCACATGACCCCAGGACACTGCAACCGTCATAAATATGAGTCAGTTGCCAAGCATTTAAATTTTGATCATATAGTCATCGGTAATACTGTAATGATCATAAGTGTGAAAAATGGTCACAAGTCATTTTTTTCAGTGCCGTTGTAACTTTGAACGGTCGGTAAATGAACAGTTATAAGTCGAGGACTACCAGTAGTATGGAAAAATTGGATAGGAATTTTAAGTGTCATGGCCAACCTTTTTGGAGGACTCTGAATTTTGGAAGGCTGGTGTAAGAACAACCTAAAACATGGTCATTCATGGCTTAGTGACTTTCTAATGGGACTACTGCAACACTCTTTACATGGGGCTGCCCTTGGAGACCATTTGGAAATTACAACCGTCCTGAATTGGTAGCTCACACTGTATTGGCCATCCCTCAGTTTGCCCATGTTATACCAATGTTGATGAGCTGCATGGGCTCCCAGCTCCCAGAGGCTAAAATAGTAAGATTGGAGCCCAAATATTGTAGAAATGAATGGGTGTAGTAATTGTTGGGTTGGGCAGCTGATTTTTCTTGATTCTTAGTTGTATTATTTTTATTGCTTGTGAATTATGTATCACCAGGTGGGTGGCCATATAAATCTTTGAACATATAGACCAGTGTTTGTCAACCTTGGAAGCTTGAAGATGGGTGGACTTCAACTCCCAGAATCCCCCAGCCAGCAGCGCTGGCTGGGGGATTCTGGGAATTGAAGTCCACCATCTTCAAGCTTCCAAGGTTGACAAACACTGATATAGACAAACATCTGGGAGAGAAGAGGCCTTTTTCTAGTTGCAATCACTGAATAGCAGTAATGCTCTTGGATTCGACCAGCCATCACATCTATCCTTTCACATAAATATGCAAGCAACCCATCAACAGATATTCCTCAACTTATAACCACATTTGGGATCAACATTTCTGCTGCCAATCAAGGCAGTTGTTAAGTGAGTCACACTTTATTTTACAACCTTTTTTTGCCATGGTTATTAATTGAATCACTGCAGTTGTTAAGTGAATCATAGGGTCGTTAACTGAATCTGGCTTCTCCCATTGACTTTGGTTGTCGGGAATCGGATAGGAACGTCCCAAATGGCAATCACATGACTCCAGAATTTAAAAAAAAAGTGCTAGTGGCAAAGCGACCGTATTTTGATCACATGACCACAGGAATGCTGCAACAGTCCTCAGTGTGAGGATCAGTTGTAAATAGCCTTGTTTGGTGCGGCTGTAATTTCAAATGGTCACTAAACAAATGATCGTAAATTGAGGACTATTTGTATTTCAACTCATACATCCCCGAAGGAATTTCTCTCACCTTGCGTGCCTCAGGCTTGCCCTGCGACCGAGGTCTCAAATATTTTCTTGCGCCCTTCCATGCCGCTCAGAGCATCGATATTCTTCCGCCAATCACCTACTTCCCGATTCTCCTGGGGTGTGGGAAGAGAGAGAGAGAGACCAAAGGCCAGGAAATCAATGGCGTCCCAGGTTTTGTGGGAGGAGTAACTTGTTAGCTAATTTATATTTTTATTTCTTGGCACTCAGAATAGCTTACACAGTTCAATTTTCTCATATTCTTCCCCAAATCAACCCCATGTGATTGGTTGGGAGACATTGGCTGGTCCCCAGGTCCCTCATGGAGCTTCCAAAGCTGAGAATGGACTACAATCTGGATTTCTATGTTCTTAGTACATCACTGTGTCCAGTATTCCATAGAAGCCCTGGTTCTATGGAATCATCAAACTAAGCCATAGGAAACTTTAATGAATGGAATTCCTTTCACAGCTAAGAGAGGTTCTTACTGTTGAGAATGTCCCTCTTCTCCTGGAGAAGCAATCTATAACACCCACAAATTTGGAAAGGTTACTTGTGCCCAGTGATGTAGCTGGATGTTCCTGAATTTGGCACCGTTCTGTAGAAAGTTAGCACCCACCCCTCTCCTAAAAGAATGAAATATTTTGGGAAATATTAAAAAAGCCAGAATATTATATTTCCCTGGATGATAAAAAAGAAGAAGAGAAAAAGAAATGTTTTAAATACAGAAAGCAACTCCCTGCCCCCAGCAGATATTTGGTGCCCATTAAGAAAGACTGGCCCAGCCTATCTTCAAGACAAAAGACTTCCAGCTCCAGGGAGATGGGATTAAGACATGACCCTCCAGGATATAATAGATGATTAGCCCATCTATCAGCAGAGCTCACCATATGGCACAATCTCCTAAGGACATTGCATCAGCAGCCCAAACTTCAAGCAATCTTAGCTCAGACAAACATGACCCCTACAGGGCCCCATGGGAGTCTGACAACAGCCAATAGAATATATGTCCTTGCACAGGAACAGGAAGCTCAAGTGCAAAGCCCAAGAGAAGGTATAAAATCCCCCTACTCTTAACTCCATGTGTTCAGCTGCACCAGAACCATAAACATATGCTTCTGTTCATCAATAAATGAACCCTCATTCCAATTAGCCTCCAGCCTCCATTTTGTCTTCAGTGCCTTTCTCCCTGATTGGACCTGGACCAATCAGATATTTCTTTCAGTTCTCCAGATGAGACCAGAGGGATCTCTGTTGTTATGAGAAATCTTTCCACATTGTCTAAGTTGTGGTCTTGGTTGAATAAGTACTCAGACTGAGGAAAGGAGAGGCACTACTACATGCGTTTTTGAAATGCAGAGGTTTTTCAAAACTCAAACTATTCCCCTTTCCCCAAGTAGACTTTATACATGTTCCTTTATACCAGGGTTTCTCAATCTTGACAACTGTAAAATGAACGGACTTCAACTCCCGGAATTCTCCAGCTAGCATGAGAGTGGCTGGGGAATTCTGGAAGTTGAAGTCCACATATCTTAAAATTGCTATGGTTGAGAAACTCTGCTTTATACCCTTGCAAGTAATGTCTTGGAAAAAAAAGTTTTGCAAGGCTGTCCTCCAGGAAGGAATAATAAAAAAAATATATATAGTGTTCATAATACATATGAAAATGTCTTTTTGCATTGTTTTGGCTACCCTCTTGACTTTTTGACCTCTTCCCTGTGCACTCTTCTGCAGCTTTGGAAGTAATGTTGGACTTTTTATGCAAACCAGGAATTGAAGAAAGGGTTCACTGGCCATCTAAATCAACTTTCTTCCTCCCTAGTGAACTTTAAGATTGCTATTTAAGGATAACAAAAATAAAAGGTTGCTGCAATGGTGGTAAAATGTAGCCCGAGGTGCCAAGAACTAAATTTAAGACTTTGACATACAACGTCACTGATGGGAAATTTGTGCCTGGAAATTATTCACCACTAATGAATGATCAGCCAGGCTGTAAGTAAATAAGCAGGCAAGTATGCAAAGTTTGGGCGGTTCAGTCAAATCTCACGACTTCAGCCACCCTACAACGATCCTAGGCCAGGAATGGGGAATTTTTGGAGAGAACAAAGGGATGTAACACCCCATGTATGGTCTGCAGAGCCTCCACAGAAGAGGTTTGAGGGGCAAAATATATTCAAACTAATTTTGCTCTTTTGGAGGTGAGTGAGTGTTTAAATGACTCTTAATCCATTAAAAAAAACATAAACCAACTTCACAGTCTCTAGCTCAGGAGTCTCCAACCTTGGTAACTTTAAGCCTGGAGGACTTCAACTCCCAGCTTTGCTGGCTGGGAATTCTGGGAGTTGAAGTCCTCCAGGCTTAAAGTTGCCAAAATTGGAGACCCCTGCTCTAGCTAACAAAGATTACCCATTCTTTTCCTAAATGAAGGAAATGAATGACTCTGAAGCCACTATCTGTGTACTTCCTCTTCCTTCTCTCCCTCTCATTCTTGGTTGCTGATCCTCCCGGACTTACCTTCTCTGTGTCATCTTTCTTGACCTGTTTGAGGTTGGCCCGCAGATCCATAGAGACCTTGTGCTTGGAGCCAAGCAAGGCCTGCATCATGGCATCAGCTGAGAGACGCACCCGGCGAAGAGCAGGGCGCTTAAATTTGCCTCGCAGGTCAAAAATCTTCTGGTTCAAATCTTGGATCTAGAATCAGAATAGACAACCTGCTAACACACTTGAAATTTAGTAGCAGCCGGGCACCAAATTCACTTCACAATTTCCCCACAATTGGATGCTCTCCAGATACATAGATTAGGTGATTGTGACTGGAAATTCTAGTCTCAACACATCTGAAAGTTGTGGAAAGTCAGGTTATATGAAGAAAACTTCAGTTAGGAGTGAAATGTTGTACTGTCCTTCCAGATTTCCTCAAACTTTCCCATAAACTGTCTTTATTTAAGAGCATTCTGAAGAGAGGTGGTTCTCAGCAGGTTCTGACAAGTTCTGGAGAACCTATAGCGGAAATTTTGAGTAGTTTGGAAAACCGGTAGTAAAAATTCTGACTGGCCCATCTATTCTCTGCCTCCCAAGTCCCAGCTGATTGGAAGGAAATGGGGATTTTGCAGTAACCTTCCTCTGGATTGGGGAGGGAATGGAGATTTTACAGTATCCTTCCCCTGCCATGTCCACCAAGCCATGCCCACCATGTCATGCCATGCCCACCAAGCCACACACACAGAACCAGTTGTAAAAAATTTTAAAACCCACCACTGATTCTGAAATTGTAAATCAGTATTTCTCAATCTCAGCAATTTTAAGATGTGTGGCCTCCGGCTCCCAGAATTCTCCAACCAGAAGACTAGAAAAAGTTAAAATCCACACATTTTAAAGTTGCCAAGTTTGTAGAACATTGTCCTTGCAAGATCATGAGGTCTGCTGGGCCTCATTATGTTTCAAACTCTCCATTCTCTAGCACTGATGATGTTATCTAATAGGGCAATGAAATGTTTCCAAGCAAACAACCAAGTTCAGAGAGTACCAAGAATTCTGAAGATGAGGGTGAAGGTTTGTCCTCTGAGCTTGAGGGTTGGTTTCCAAACGTTTCATTACCAGGCTAGGTAACATCTTCAGTGGAGTTGAAGGATTTGGGATTGTGGTGTATGACTGCCAGACCGTGTTCATGGATCCTGGTTTTTAACTGACGTGATATTTGCCCCATGTACAATTAGTTGCAATGGTTACAGATGATTTTGTAGATTACATTGTTTCTTTCATCCTTCTGTATCTTGTCTTTGGTTCTGAATAATTCCTGGTGAAGTGTGGCTGTGGGTTTGTGGGCTATTCCTATTCCAAGGGGTTGGAGCAGTGGTGGGCAGGGGTGAAATGCTCCTGGTTCGGATTGGATCGCCCGATCTGGTAGCAATGGCGACGGGTGGTTTGGAGAACCAGTAGCAAAAGTCCCTGCTCCCCCATGCCCAGCTGAGCCACGCGATCATCAGAGGCTTTTTTTTTTTTTTAACTTTTAAAATAATTTTTTCTACAACCTCTTCGGCCAAAAAAAATGCTTTTAAAGGTTAAAAAAAAAAAGCCTCTGATGATCGTGTGGCTCAGCTGGGATCGTCGGAGGCTTTTAAAAGCATTTTTTCTACAACCTCTTCGGCCGACAATCCCAGCTGAGTTGCCTGATTGTCAGAGGCTTTTAAAAGCATTTTTTTCTACAACCTCTTAAGGTTGTAGAAAAAATACTTTTAAAAGTAAAAAAAAAAAAAAGTTGGCCACGCCCACCCACTCACATTACACACACCCCACCAAGCCACGCCCACAGAACCGGTAGTAACAAATTTTACATTTCACCACTGAGTGGTGGTATTCAGCCGGTTCTATCTAGTTTGGGTGAACCAATAGCGGCGGTGGGAGACTCCGCCCACCCCACCTGGACATAATCACATCCTGCGCACGCTCACATTTGTGAACTGGTAGCGAAGGTAAGTGAATACCATCCCTGGATTGGAGGATGCTGGCTGCCAAATCTTTAATCTCTATCCACACCAACAACAAACAACACCAGTTCAATTGGAGCAACACAAAAATCATCAGTCACGTTACCACCCGCCACGCTCATGAGTTCATCGGAGCCTGGCACTCCACAAACAATTCCATCAACAGACACATGGACCTACAATCAGCCTACAAACCCCTACGAATCCAGACCAACTGCACAGCCACCCAGAGGCAGCACCGGCCCTCAGCCAACCCATGCAACTCCTCACTGCAGTTACCCTCACTTGACATACCCACACCTGAAGCCCTTATAAGCAGAAGAATACTGACATCCCCTAAACTCTGCTGAAGATGGTACCTAGCCTGGTAATAAAATGTTCAGAGACCAACCCACAAGCTCGGACAACGAACCTTCACACTCATCTTACGCCTGAGCTACAGATATTCACCACTGTTGCAAACTCTGAAGATGTAGGTTTAATGATCTGTGAAAGAGCTAAAGCTTTTGTAGGTGCATTTGAAAATAGAAACCTATAGGATAACTGCATTCAGGGTAAAAATTATTCTTAATTCTAGATTAGATGGGTGCAAATGCAGTAACAGAATTACAGAAAAAGCGATTGGGGCAATCTGATCCCCAAGAATAAATGAAAATGGTGACCGCTTAGATCAGTGTTTCTCAACCTTGGAAGCTTGAAGATGGGTGGACTTCAACTCCCAGAATTCCCCAGCCAGCGCTGCTGGCTGGGGGATTCTGGGAGTTGAAGTCCACCCATCTTCAAGCTTCCAAGGTTGAGAAACACTGCCTTAGATCTTAGAAGATCTAAGAAAAAATATAAGATTAGTGAAAGAAACAAGGTAACAAGAACTTCTGAAGGTGGGGGCAGGGCCTTACTAATATCAAGTGTGGAACTTGGGGGAAAAAATGGATGTGACAGAAAAGAAATGAGTGTAGAAATAGAAGGGCTGGCTCTGAAAAAACGTGGACTGAATGGAAAAGTGAATAAACAGTATGAAAAAGTACACTGAGATGATCTGGTCACATACAGGAAATGAATGAGAATTAACCTGCAAAACAAAGAAGAGTAAATGAGTGAGAAGAAACAGAAGGCTGGGAAATCCATGATGGAACTGACCAGATCCTAAAAAAATGGAGAGGTAAAAATTATGAACAGTCAAAATGTAAAGCAGCAGGTGGACATGGCAGAAGATCTAGAATGCTTTTCAAGGATTGTATGATACGGAGAGATATAGTGAACGTTGCTGAGGCAAACTAGGTTTATCTGGACTCCCTTTTATTCTTCTTATCTCACGTCATTTGTTTCTTTCGCTTATTATGTCTTTCTTACTCCTTTTCTGAACTTTGCAAACCTAGTGCAATGGGCATATTGTAGTTGTCTTTAAAAGTCACCCTTCTTCCCAAGAACATCATAGTGTGCATATGTTTCACTTTTCCTGATTTGATTTACCCAATGGCCCTAAGTGATTTTTTGAAAAAAAAAGCTGGGAGAAAAAGACAAGGCTGTGTTTTTTGCATGTCCCTTTTATTGTCATTAAAATGCCAAATTCCATTGGCTAAATCCTTCATCTGAAATTCACTTAGCTCTTTTTCTATCTTGTACGATCAGGAGCCACAAGTGGTGCCCTGTAAAGACAATTGTGGCCCAGATCCCACCCAAGGCCCATGCTCAGAAGCTCACCTCATTGATGCTCTTATTGACTCGGGCCTCCATGTCATAACGCTCCTCATCAATTTTGTCGATTTGCATATGGAACTGCCGACATAGCTCCTATAGTAAACAAGGTAATATAAGACAAACCAAGCATCAGAATCGAGACGAATAAAGAGCAGGGTGTTCCTGAACAAGTGCAAAGTGCATTTTTGAAGGCTATTGAGAGATGAGTCAGAGAACTGACTTTTTCAGACATTAACCACTTGAATCAGAATGGTCCAACTGGAGAAAGAAAAAGACAACAATTTCAAAACGCTCCAATATCTCCAAATATGCTGAAATTTAGTTTCCATTAATACCCACAATTATACATTTTTCTCAAAGCTAAGACCTCTCTTAGAATAGTCTTCCCCAATCAGCTGCCCTTCCAGTTGTATTGTCCTACAAACCCCATGTCTAGTTCATATACCCGGAGTGCAACTGTTTGAAGAAAGCTAATTTTGAACATAGGCTTACATGAAAATTTTAATTGGGTGGCTTCTTCTAATCTAAAGTAATGTTGCTCCTCAAAGTAAGTGGAATGTGAATCATGTTGCAAGTGATGGGATGTCCAACTCTTGCTTTAGAGCTGCTGACACAAAGCAAGTTGTACAGCAAATGCATAATGGTGTCCTCAAGGAGCTTATCACCTTCCTTAACAAAAGCCAACATCTAAATTAGTTTATCCTGAAGATCAAAGATACACTTTAGAGTTTTCCTTTCATCTGGCATCTGTCTTTATCTTTCTTCAAACTAGAGACTTTTCATCGGAAGTTGAACACATCTGGAAAGCAACCAGTCAGAGATCTTCTGCAATTTGGTCTGCTTTCTCCCTCTTTCATTTTCCCCACTTCTATGCTGACCTGAAGGTCTGTGAGGCTGAGTCCTGCCAATTCTAAGGGGATGCAGCGGTCGGAGAGAAACTTCTCTTTGTCCTGGGAGCGTTCTTCTTCTTCCTTTTCCATTTCCCTCTTAGCCACTTGGAGCATCAGTGACTGGGTGAAAAGACAAGAGTTTGGGTCAATAAACTGGGTTTATATCTTGCCTGCGTTCCTCCAACCTGATGAATATACCAGCATTTCCCTTCCAAGGGACTCTGCAGAAGTATGGATGGACCCCAAGAATGGTGGTCATACTAATCCAAGAATTCTGGGAGTTGAATCACACACATCTGGGGGGCATTCAGGTTGGGCAAGTCCATTTTGTCAAGTGTTCCTTCCTACCAAGTATTTGCATCAAGTACGTGTGTGGGTGGTTGTGGTTGTGTGGTTGTTTTCTTCTCTTGGAATCTGATCTACCGTGTGTCTTTTCCACCAGATTCTACACACTACACATAGTCCTCAACTTACAATTGAGTCCCCAAACCTCTGTTGCTAAGCAAGACGGTTGTTAAGTGAGTTTTGACCCATTTTATGACCTCTCTTGCCTTAATTGTTAAGTGAATCACTGCAGTTGTTAAGCTTGTAACACGGTTGTTAAGTGAATCTGGATTCCCCATTGGCTTTGCTTGTCAGAAGGTTGCAACTGTCAAAGGTACATGCCAGTTGCCAAGCAGCCAAAGTTTGATCATGTGACCACAGAGATGCTGCAAAAATTCTAAGAGTCAACAAGAGTCAAAAGTCACTTTTTTTCAGTGGCTTTGTAACTTCAAATGATCATTAAACAAATGGTTGTAAATCAAGGACTACACGTACTACATTTTGCCTTCCAATCGCCTAGAAACTTGCCAAATGTGCCCCCAGAAGTGTTTGCCACCCTGTGCTCTTTTCTAAGTGTATCAATACCCAGAAGCTCACTATTTCCACATTACCTTGAGTTGCAATTTCCGAGAAGCTGATATCTTGCATTTTATCTGTGGTTGAACAAAAGAAGAGAGATTAAGAGGCATATTTCACATTCCGGAAGGATGGTGCTGAGAGGAACTTCCTAAATTTACAGTGATAACTGCTTATCCTGTTCATAACATGGGGAGCAGTTTAATAGAAAAGGAGAGAAGCAGAATAATCTGATTTGGTTTAGGTCTGGTTAGCCTAGATGAAGTGACAAATTTCCAAAGGAAGAATCGCAGTCACTTAGAGGAAAGGAGAGATAGGAAATAAAATATAATCTGCTTTGTCCAATGGGTTTAATTTCTTTCTAAATGAATAATAGATGGGATCAATGTAAATCAAGTGTGTCCAACCTTGGAAACTTTAAGGCCTATGGACTTCAACTCCCAGAATTTCCCAACCAGCGTGACTGGGGAATTTTGGGAGTTGAAGTCCACAAGATCAGAAAGGTCGGCAGTTCGAATCCTTCGTTTGGTCTCCTGCGTGAGCAGGGGGGTTGGACTAGATGACCTCCAAGGTCCCTTCCAACTCTGTTACTGTTACAAGTGTTAAAGTTTCCAAGATTGGATACCCCTGGTCTAGATTAACTGACACCTAGAGACTGTTGGAATTCATTGTTGGAATGTATTTCTATGCAATAATTACAGTACTAGTCAGCCACTAGATGGCATTATTTACAAGTTTGGATCTATGGTATATAATTTATGCTCTTTTGTTTTGAGTAGAGTTTCCTGTTTCTTGTTACAGTTGTATAGTTGAGCAGTAAAGCACATCGTGACTGTACTTTTTGTTTGCTCTGTGTGGTGCTTTATATAAATGGAATTTCTAACAGAGACCATTTGGAAAAGATCACATAGCCTCCATGTTTTTGAAAGATTTGACCAGATTTTAAGGAGCAGAAACATCCTGAAATGAGAAGGAAATTTGAGATGCTAAGCCTGAGACTGGACACCCAATTTTCTGATTCTGCGACACAAAATGCACAAAGGCGAGTGTCGATGTGAGACATAGCAGACCAATGTGTTCAACTTCTAAATTGCACTTTGAGCTTACACTATGAGACCATGCAAATTTATCCTGACTTTATCTTGATGTATTGTTTTCATGCATGATGATAAATTTACATTGCTCTCTGAAAACACACAGAGACACACATACACAAAGTGCTGTATTGTTTCCATTTCTGCATTTCTTCTCCCATTGTGTCCCCCTTTGATTTTCTGAGCCCCTTATTCTTAATCGTGCCCTGGGTATTTCTGCATTTCTTTTTTTCAATTCAGCTGGAAAGGTGACTGGAACCTACCTTGTCATGTGGCTCAATGGCATAGGCCCGGTAATTGGCAGATGATTTTCGGCGTAGGGGAGGCACCGTTGCAGGAGGAGGAGCAGGTTTGGGAGCCACTGGCGCCTTTTTTGTCTCCACAATGGTCTCCTGTGCTTCCTCCTCTATGTATTCCTCTTCTTCCTCTTCCTCATACTACAGATTTAAATAATGTATTATTTCCAAAATGCTTTCTGCAGCCACGTTTTTGACATATAAAGGCCAACTGCGCTTGCTGCTCTGACCCCCAAATTCCAGATTTTGAGAGAGGATATTTATGTAAGCGAGAGAAATGGTACAAACCCGCTCCTGTTCATTTAAGTACTTTGTATTTTAATTGTTGGCTTTCATGGTCCTACAGCTAGTCCTCAATTTATGACCACAATTGAGAACAGATTGCTAAGCAAGAGAGTTGTTAAATGAGTCATGCCTGATTTTATTACCTTTTTTGGATACAGTTGTTAAGTGAATTACTGCAGTTGTTAAATCAATCATGCGGTCGTTAAGCAAATCCAGCTTGACTTTGCTTGTTGGAGGCCAGCTGGGAAGGTTGCAAATGGTAATCACATGACCCCAGGACATTGCAACTGTCAAAAATAGATACCAGTTGCCAAGTACTTTAATTTTTGATCAGGTGACCATGGAAATGTTGCAACTGTTGTAAGTTTGAGGAGCAGTTGTCAATCACTTTTTTCAGTGCCCTTATAACTTTGAATGAACTAAACAAATGATTTGAACTAAACAAATGGTTGCAAGTTATGGACTACCAATATTTTCCTGACAAATCCTCTTACTTACAAATACCATGTGGAAAAGAATGAAAATTAAAAATGAAAAAGTCAGAAATGCTACTAACAATAATGCATAACTTTTATTTTTTCAACCTCTGCATAGACTGATTTTTGCCACTAGATGGCGCTTGAGTGAGCGGAATTTGAATTTTGGATTCATTATGGAAGATGACAATACAGGTAGTCCTCGACTTGTGACCTCAATCGAGCCCAAAATTTAAGTTGTTCAGGGAGAATTTGTTAAGTGAGTTTTGTCCCATTTTACAACATTTCTTGCCACAGTTGTTAAGTGAATCTGGCTTCCCCTATGACTTTGTTTGTCAGAAGGTTGCAAAAAGCGACCACATGACTCTGGGACCCTGCAACAGTCATAAGTATGAACCAGTGGTCAAGTATCAGAATTTTGATCACACCACCAAGGGGATGCTGCAACTTAGGATGGTCATAAGTCACTTTTTTCAGTGCCGTTGAACCTTGAATAGTCACTAAACTTTGAATGGTGACTAAATGAACTGTTGTTACTCAATAACTACCTGTATTACAATATTTTCCTTCGTTTTCCAGGTTCGTGATTCCTCAGAATGACTTCTACATTTTTTGCTGTGATTTCATCAGGATGGGCATATTGATGGACAAAAGGGTGCTTTTGGATACAGTGTGAATTTCTCTAGGTGTCATGTCTCTGTAGGCCTAAAATGAGACATCCTAGAGCTACCTTGCCCCATTAATGCTTTCTGTATCAGTTGTTCTACTATAGCAATATTTTACAACCTTGGCCACTTTAAGCTGCATGGACTTCAACTCCCAGAATTCCCCAGCCAGCTTTGGGGGAATTCTGGGAGTTGAAGCCCACGCAGCTTAAAGTGGCCAAGATTGAGAAACACTGCTCTATAGCAGTGCTTCTCAATCTCACCAATTTTAGGCCTGTGGACTTCAACTCCCAGAATTCCCAGCCAGCATGGTCTACCGCTAATAGTGGCCATGCTAACTAGGAAGGATGATAATTGAAGATCAATATATCTGGGGTCGTCTAATGACAAGCCAAAAATTCAGATGGTGTCCCTTTTTATATATGTTGTCTGTAAAGGGCAGGAACTAAATTGCACAGGCCCAACCACCATTATGATTATTTTGAGGGATCTGTGGACATCCCTGACTAGATATCAAATAGGAAAGACAGGGGTGGGGGGGAATTCAAGAGTGCTTGAACAGAGATAATTTTCTTTTAAGAAATGAAATGTTTAAATATGCTAACAGAAAAGTCTGTAAAAATTGCCATGTATGAAGATGGTTTATTTGTTTTGTTTTTTTTCATGAAGGCACTATTTATAGATTTTAATCTGGAGTGACGCTGGTGACATTTTGCAAAGCTTATCTTAAACTATTTTTTAAGGAGCTAATATCTGGCTAGACTTGGCAAAGAAGCTTTTGTCAAGTTGATCCTAAGTGACAAAAGACAAGTGCCTCATGGCAAGATTCAAAAACCTGATGTAGGGCACACTTATTTACGTATTTATTAGATTTTTAAATCTTTTATTACTTTATAGGTAATTCAAAAGAAATAACTCTTCTGTCTCCTTTTTTTCACTATAAGAACAACCCAGTGAGTTGGGCTGAGAGAAAGTGACTGGCCAAAAGTCACTTTGGGATTAGAATTCACAGTCTCCTGGTGATTGGCCCAAAGTCACCCAGCTGGCTTTCATCCTTAAGGCGGGACTAGAATTCACAGTCTCCTGGTGATTGGCCCAAAGTCACCCAGCTGGCTTTCATCCTTAAGGCGGGACTAGAATTCACAGTCTCCTGGTGATTGGTCCAAAGTCACCCAGCCAACTTTCATGCTTAAGGTGGGACTAGAATTCACAGTCTCCTGGCTCCTAAACAATGGTGAAATTCAATTTTTTAAATTACCTGTTTGGTGGGCGTGCTGTGGCTTGGTGGGCGTGGCTTGGTGGGCAAGGCAGGGGAAGGAAACTGCAAAATCTCCATTCTCACCCCACTCCAGGGGAAGGATACTACAAAATCCCCATTCCCTCCCCACTCCAGGGGGAAGGATATTGTAAAATCTCCATTCCCACCCCACTCGGGGGCCAGCCAGAGGTGATATTTGCTGGTTCTCCGAACTACTCAAAATTTCCGCTACCGGTTCTCCAGAACCTGTCAGAACCTGCTAAATTTCACTCCTGTTCCTAACCTAATGTAAATAACGATAACAGAGTTAGAAGGGACCTTGGAGGTCTTCTAGTCAAACCCATGCTCAGATAGGAAACCTTCTACCATTTCAGATAAATGGCTGTCCAATCTCTTCTTAAAAACCTCCAGTGTTGGAGCACCTACCACTTCTAGAGGCAAGTTGTTCCACTGATTAATTGTTCTAAAAGTCAGGAGATCTCACCTTAGTTCTAGGTTGCTTCTCACCTTAATTAGTTTCTTTCCATTGCTTCTTAACCACTAGACCAAACTGGCTTTACACATTACTTTTCAGAAAGCATGTAAGTGTGAAGGTGTAGGTATTTACTTGCCTGCAATGACTGAACAATTCCAGTAACAGTAACATTTTCCTGGATAATTTACCTTCTACTCAACTCATATGAAGTGAACACCTTGACAATTTCTCCCAATTTATTAAAGGCTCTTGAGAGAAGAGAGAAAGATGCCTGTATAAAATAAAGGACACTGTTCTTTATCAGTTCTGGTGAAATTGCTTCATTTGTACTTACGGTGATCTCTTCCCTGTGAAAAAAACAGAAAGATACCAATCAGACTGAATAATTCTGTTTTGCCTGGTTGCTCCCCCATCCCCCAGGACCCTAAACTGCTTCCTAGCTTTCCCCCTGCTGTCAGCATTTTAGTAGGATTATTTTTAATCTAAGGAGTGAGTCTTGTCTGCCAGCTCAAAGAACAGCGCTCTTCTTCTGCGGTTCTTGAACTCATGTCTTGCTCACTAAATTTTCCCAGGATGCACCCCGTACCCCCTTCCCTCTGGTAAATAATGTACGATAATTCCCACTGGCATGCCTTTTAAAAGACAAAACTACTCACTCTTCTGCCATCTTGTGAAAGCAACCTTCGGGTCCACTGGAATGAAGAGAACAAGAAAAATACATTATTCATAACTCTGTCTTTGTCATCTCTATCTCTCTATCATCTTGAATACATAAGCATATACTGTACGTGCACACTGTAATATATAATAATATGCAAATACAATATCTATCCTATAAGGAACTATTTTGGTGTAGTGGTTAAAACATCAGGCGAGAAACTGGGAGACCAGGAGTTCTTGCTCTCTCTTAGGCACAATGCCAGTTGGGTGATCTCGGGCCAGTTACTTTGTCTCAACCCGAAGAAAGAGGCAATGGCAAACTACTGAAAAAAAATTGTGGAGAAAACTGCAGAGATTTTCTTCAGGCAGTTTCCAAGGGTCAGACATGATTAAAAAGAAGAAAAAAAAACATCTATTATGCGTCTAGGTCTCTTTCTTTCTTTCTTTCTTTCTTTCTTTCTTTCTTTCTTTCTTTCTTTCTTTCTTTCTTTCTTTCTTTCTTCTTTTCTTCCTTCCTTCCTCTCTTCCTTTCTCTCTCTCTCCCCTTCCTTTCCTCCCTCCCTCCTCCCTTTTTCTTTTCTTCTCTCTCTCATCTGTCTATAGGTAGTCCTTGACTTACAACTGTTCATTTAGTGACTGTTTGAAGTTACGACAGCATTGAAAAAAATGACATGACTGTTTTTCATGTGTATGATCATTGCAGCATCCCAATGGTCACATGACCCATATTCATGACGGTTGCAGTGTCCCAGAGTCATGCAATCCCCTTTTGCAACCTTCTGACAAGCAAAGTCAATGGGGAAGCCAGATTTTTTTTAAAAAAAAAATTGATTTATATGCCGCCCTTCTCCGGAGACTCAGGGCGGCTTACAATGCGTTAAGCAATAGCCTTCATACTTTTGTATATTTATACAAAGTCAGCTTATTGCCCCCACAAACTGGGTCCTCATTTAACCTACCTTAGAAAGGATGGAAGGCTGAGTCAACCTTGAGCCTGGTAAGATTCGAACCTGCAGTAATTGCAGGCAGCTGTGTTAATAACAGGGTGCTTTAAACCACTGTACTACCAAGGCTTCACTTAACAGCTGTATTACTAATTTAACAATTGCAGTGATTCACTTAATAACTGTGTCAAGAAAGGTCATAAAATGGGACAAAACTCACTTAACAAATGTCATGCTTAGCAACAGAAGTTTTGGCCTCTGTTGTGGTTGTAGGTCGAGGACTACCTTCACTTTTCCATTAGAGACCAAAAGCTTCTTTCTAATAATAGCATCTTATAAAACACCAATAGCATCAGTCATGCTTATCCTTCGTGACTCTTCTTGGATGTCCAGGCAACCTGAGAAATGTTTGCCCTTTGTGGGTGGGTGCACCTGTCTGTGTAGCAGAGAAGAAAGCAGCATTTAAAACAAGTTGTGGCAGGTTTTAAGGCAGGCCAAAAAGCCCTATTCTTTTGATGTCATTTCAGGCTATTAGGATCTGTATTAGTGTATTAACTGTATTAGTGCCTGGAATGCACTACCTGACTCTGTAGTTTCTTCCCCAAACCCCCAAAACTTTAATCTTAAACTGTCGACTGTTAACCTCACCCCATTCCTAAGAGGTCTGTAAGGGGCGTGCATAAGTGCACCAGCGTGCCTACCGTCCCTGTCCTAATATTCCTTTTTACGTACTCTTTTCATGTATTCAAATTATGTTTATACTTTTGCCTGTTATCTTATATATGCTTGACAAATAAACTTATGATATGATATGATGATCATAATCCCGAATGTCACACCTGTAACTGCCAATTGGGAAATACTTTTGGCATTTTGCACTGTTTCTGCAGGTCTGTGGTATGTGAAATACAGATTTATTTGAAGCAATTTATCTTGCTGTTTTACCTCCCCTTCCTCCCTCATCCTCCAAAAGACTGGTAGAGCGGCTTACATAAGAATGGGTGGGAACATTATCCTTTAAGTCTTTTGTTATCATCTTTCAAAATAAGCTTCTTCAATGTATTTTGGTGTGTGTCTCTATATGTGTATATGCAGACATGGCTACCCTGGTTGCATTGTTATGGTCACTCAGAAGTAAACAAACCAAATTTTAGCTTAAGATGATATGGGAATTCAGCCACAAAATAATTTTACATCAGCAGGAATCTCTTCACCTGTCTACCTCAGAGGGTTGTTTTGCATAGATTGGAGTGATGATTTTAAGAGATTATATATTAAGAAATAAATGTTTAAATTGAAATGGCCCCTGGCCAAATTAAAAATACATACCATACACATACTACCAAAAATAACAAATTCACCACCATTGGACCATGTTTCCTGCATGTCTGCTAAAAATGTTTTAAGGTATGGTGTTCAAACTTGGCAACTTTAAGACTTGTGGATTTCAACTCCCACAATCCCCCGATCAGCCAGCTAATTTTGTCGCGTGTTTATGGTTATGTACAACTCTTTAAATACTGAACAGTTCAGACATTGCCAAATCAAGTGATGTCTGAGCCTGTAAGAAGAAACAAATGCATACTAAATTATCAATAGCAATATTTTTGTGATTGCCAGAGATTACCAGAGGCCATTTCAATTTAAACATATATTTATTCATGTATAATCACATTAAATCATTCTTTCAATTTATGCAAAACAATCCTGTGAGGTACACTGGTGGAGAGATTCCTGCTGATTATCTTGTGGCTGAATTCACACATCACCTTAAGCTAATTTTTGGTTTGTTTACTCCTGGGTGAGCATGGCTGGCTGGTTGGGGAATTCTGGGAGTTGAAGTCCACAAGTCTTAAAGTTGACACCTTTGGAAACCCTTGTTTTAAGAGGATATTTACTGTGTGGTGAGAATCAATTTATGCCACCCTAACTTATTATGGCCTGGAACTTTAAAAGAATATTGGTTCACCATACATCATCACACAAAAGAGCAAGAGCAAAGTTGCTCTGGCTGTAATCAAGAGATTATAACTCTCTTGAAAACCTCTTGTTGTTGCTTTATAAGTTCAGTTCTCACTCGGGCCCACCAGCAGCCAAGTATTGGCCTCTCTGGAAACTCGCATTTGCCCAGACCTTGTACGAGACATCCTGTTATCGCTTGAGTAATTTGAGCTGCTAAATTTGTGCTGTCTTATCGCTTCAAAAAAACGGGGCCAGGTCGTTCCACAGGGAAGAGAGGCAGTGAGCTTTGCAGGCAAAGCACGTGCTCCAAAACTAACAGCAGATGGAAGGCTGCTTGTTCGCTCAACTTGATATGGCATGATGTGTGCGTGCGTGCAGCCACACAACCATTTTTACAGAAAGCTGGATTGAGGCTAAATTTCCAACTCTGATTATTTTAAAGCAAGGCTTTTAAAATAAGATGTTTTTTCTCTCTCTCTCTTTCAAAGAAAGGAAGCTGGGCAGAGGGAAGAGGTATGGGCAGAAATACAGCGGAAAACAAAAATACAGCGGCTGCGTGTTCAGCCCTCCCCTTTCTTGGGAGGCCTTTATTCTTAGCGTGAGGTGTGAAACGAATCCTTCAGCACTCTTGCGAGAGACATCTGCTGTGAGACTCAGAAATAAAGCTGGAGGGGCCCTGCTAAGCTCTCTCAAAGCTTTGTTATCTCTCTCTCTTATTCTCTGGCTGATGAAAAGAACAGCACTGCCAATGCTTGTTTGGGCTGAGCCAGTTTGATTCTATGGTTTAGATCAGGAGTGGGGGGAACCAGAGTCCTAGTCCTATTTTAGGTATGGAAACCAGCTGGCCAGTTACTCTCTCTCAGCCCTAGAAAGAAGGCAACGGCAAGACACCTCTCTTGCCAAGAAATGCATGGACTTGGTGTGCAGGTAGTCCTCAATTTACAAGAGTTTATTTAATGACAATTTGAAGCTACAACGGCGCTGAAAAAACGGACTTTTCCGTTTTCCACCTTTATTGACTGACCATTGCAGCATTCCCCACAGTCACACGATCAAAATTCGAATGCTTGGCAATCAAATTTCATATTTATGACGGTTGCAATGTGCCAAGATCACATGATCCCTTTTGCGATCTTCTGACAAGCAAAGTCAACGGGGGAGCCAGATTCACTGAACAATCGAGTTGCTAACTTAACAGCTGCAATGATTCACTTAACAACTGTGGTCAGAAAAAAAATTGTAAAATGGGGCAGCACTCACTTAACAAGGGTCTCACTCAGCGACATAAATGTGGGGCTCAATTATGGTCGGAAGGCAAGGACTACCTGTAGTTGCCAGGATCAAAACTTATTCAAAACAAAAACAGGTCTATTTAATTTCAGCCAGTGGGGCCAAAGCTAGATCAGAGATTCCTTTGAAACCGAGGTTTGCTGGTCCCCTCCTTCCAAGGAACCGGATCCCAGTAAGCCTTGCCCAGCGACCCTTGTGTTTGGGGTCATGCCAGATTGCTCTGGCCTTGTCATCTGTCAGAAAATACCTAATTCCAATATCCTGGTGGGGATCAGGAGACCCTCCTACTTAATACTCCAAGAGAGCCTTTTTTGTGGCCAGACGGATAAAAAATGATGCCCCTTCCCCATAGTAATATTCCTTATCAGCTTGAAGGGGTCTCAGCGTGGCTGGTTAATAAGGGAACAAGGTAATACCCATCGATATAGAAGGCAGGAGGAACAAAGAAGCAGTGATTAAAGGACAGCAGTAACAAAAATGTCCCCACAGCCTTTAAAATCCAGGATTAAGAGTTCAGGAAATTAAATTGTTATTCTATACTAATAGGGTTAACTCTGTTGGAGTGGGGAGGGCATCAGGAAACCCTGTTTTGCATTGATTTTGAATATTCTGTCCACATACGGACAGCAAGGTGGTGGTGGAGGAAGCCCCTCTTGCATGCTTTATGAAGGCTGCTCTGATCTTCCCATAGACCAAGAAAGGGCAAAGCATAAGGATGTAACTAACCATTGTACTGCTTGTTTGCTCATTAACTATTTACCAACCGAGGACAGGGATATATTATGTACCTGAAAAATCCCCCTCCACTTCCCCAAAGTAACAGAATGGTCCCTCTGATTTACCTGGATAACGGGCAGCCAGCAAGAGATCAGTTTCCTGGTGATGTGTGGATACCAAAGTGGCTGGTGGCTTTTTATAAAGAGAGCTGTCGAGCATCAGCTAAGCCTTTTTAGGGAAGGAGGAGAGAGGAATGCATTCCTCTGATAAGAATGGCCCTGATATGCCTAAGAGAAGGATGGAAAAGTGGATGGTGCGGTGGGGGGAGAGGGATGGGGGACGGGATGGGACGACTGGCTTAGGTTGACAGAGCCCCAATAGAAAGGCCGGTGTTGGTTAACTGCTGTCCCTTTAATTCCAACTCTTTCATGCATCCCATCAAAGCAAGGGGATCCCTACGGTTCACTTAATGATCAATCAGTTACAATGACACTGAAAAAAGGGACTTATGACCGGTTTTCACCCTTACGACCGTTGCATCATCTCTTTGGTCATGGGAGCAAAATTTGGATGCTTTGCAATTGGTTCATATTTATGACATCCTGCAGTGTCCTGGAGTCACCTGATCACCTTTTGTGATCTTCTGCTGAGCAAAGTCAATGAGGAAGGTAGATTCACTGAAGAACCGTGTTACTACCTTAACAACGGCGGTGATCTCCTTAACAACGGTGGCAGGAAAAGTGGTAAAATGGGGCAAAACTCACTTGAGAAAAGTTTCACTTAGCAACCCAAATTTTGGGCTCAATTGTGGTTGTCTGTCGAGTGTTACCTGTACATTCAAACTCTTGTTCCAAGTTCCCCCATGACTTGCAGAAACAATCGGGTGGAATAAGATTAAGTCCAAAACGTGATCTTATAAAACCTGTTTATGCAAATGCTCTACATTTGGGATGGCCAGGCACACACCTGTACGATCATAGTACCAAAGCTGTTTTTTCAAGAGGCAACTGGACTTTCTTGTTTTTCTTTCAAGACATTTCGCTTCTCATCCAAGAAGCTTCTTCAGCTCTGTAGTCTCTGTGTTACTCATGGCCACTGTATGCCAAAGACACTGTTGTCTTGGCACTTTAGTTACAAGAGGTTCATACAAGAGGTTGACTCAGCCTTCCATCCTTTCGAGGTAGGTAAAATGAGGACCTGGTTGGTGGGGGCAATAAGCTGATTTTGTATAAAAAAGAACACCGCTTGGGGGCGGGGCGAAAGCCCTACTAAGCAGGTATATACAAAAGTATGCCCTGAGTCTCCGGAGAAGGGCGGCATATAAATCGAACCAATCAATCAATCAATCAATAAATAAATAAATAAGTGGTGACCAACTCTGTCAGCATAGATTAACCATTCTCAGCTTGTCCTCTGGATGTGCCAAGATT